TGTCCCTCCTGGATCTTGTTTCCCAATTCGTTCTCCAGATTAGGGAAGTTTTCCTTGATTATTTCATTAAATACATTTGCAAACTCAGCTTCTCTTTCTGCACCTTCTGGGACTCCCATAACTCTTATATTTGGCCTCTTAAGAGTGTCTTTCAATTCTTGAATACTTTTTTTTTACCTGATCCAGCTTTGCTTCCAGCTTTTTGTTTGCTTCCCCCTGGTGACAGGAAATATCTTCCAATTCTGAGATTCTTTGTTCAGCTTGCTTCATTCTATTTTGGAGACTCTCCACTGTACTTTTCATTTGCTCTACTGTGTTCTTAATTTCTGATATACCAGCCTTGATTTGCTTTATTGCTTCTTTAAATTCTTTGAACTCTTGCATGTGCTTCTCATTTTTGATCAGAAGCTTTAAAATGAGTTTTCTGAATTCTGTATGCCCCATTTCCTCGATGTCTTCCTCAGTTAACTCTGAGGTTGGGATAGAGTGTTGCTCCTTTTCAGGGGAGTTTTCAGTACTATTCATTGTGCCTTTGTCTCTTCTTTTGCCCTTAATCATTGTACTTCTGGTTAGCAGAGTCTTCTCCTTGGGGCAGGTTTCTAAGCTGTGTCACCCACAATCTACAATGCAATTTTACTTATTGCAGTTGGCACACAACTCTTTGCTTACAGCCACTTGTGCCACAACCTCCAGCGAGTTCCAGGTCTGGGTTCTTATGTCAGATTTCCACCATGGTCTCCACAGCCCCAGCTCTTGACTCACCCCTCTCCACCTCCTGTGATACCATGCTGAGGCTGCACTGTTGTCACTGCAACCTTTCTCCCACTTCCAGTTGGAGCAGGTCCCAGGATTAGAGAGAAATCTGGTGTGCTATATATTTAGGTTGTTGGTGGCGTTGGTCTTATTGGAACCTGTTGGACTTAAGGTCTGGGTGCCACACGGACCTATTTTGATGGGTACGATGCCACAGTCAGTATTATTTTCCTGTGGGACCAGTGCAATCCACAGAACTCAGTGAATTCTTGTAAGCTCAGCACATGCACAGTTCACTGTTGTCCCCTGCAATCCCAAAGCTATTGTTGCAGTGTGCAAATGGTGCCTAACATATCACTCCTAGAATTCTTGATCTGTTGGTGGTCAGATCCGAGGGCTACCCAAACCTGTTTTGTGTAGAACCTGTAGAATGCCACATTGTTGCAGTTCACTGAGTCAGAAATGAATTGACTCTCAGCTTAGTTTATGCTAAATCCTTTTTCTTGAGTTTGCCTGCTTACTCAAAATGGTGCACAGTTCAGCTCTAGGAGGCTGACTGGGCTATGAAATCCACCCTGTTCTCACACTGCCCGTCTGAGATCTGCTGCTCTGTCTCTGCTCCTGGTCAAATCAAATGGACCAGCAGGATGGACAGTTCTTTATCTGGATTCACCTCCCAAGCTCCCTGTCAAAGTCCCTTCCCACCTGGTTGCTGGTGGAGTTCTGGCTGCTGGAGAAGTTCAGATCATTAGCTGAATGCCGCTGGAGTATCAGTCACTGCAACACCACACTGTTGTGTCCACTGCTTTCCTGTGTCTGTCAGTCTCCAGGTACCTCTCCAGGTACCTCCAGGTTTCCTATTTCCTGAAATATGTCCTCTCTGCTTCATCCTGATTAAATGTTTTTCTGTCCATTTAAACTTTTCCTTACCCTATTCCAGCAGCTTGATTCCCAATAATGTGCATTTTAAAAAGTGCCAAATTAAACTGGTTGTACTGACCTCCAGGTTAATGGAATAGCCTTATTTCAACCTAAGAATATTATGATTTTGATAATTCTACACATAACCATGATTATATTTTATTAGATCATTCTGTCAAATGTAGTCTAGAATATTGTAAATATAATGGGAATATTGAGTGAATATTGCTATTTGCATTACTCTGAAGATAAATATTGTCCATCATCTTTCATTTTTTGTTATTAGACAATTATGTGCATGGTACCACATGTTTATATAGAAACAATACAAAGTTCTGGGTCATTGTGTTTCATTTGCAGCCATTCATACAAAAGATTTTTATACCTTATCTTCTGATATTTAAGATGTCATTCCATAAATAAACCTAATGGATATACTCAAATTAGCATATACTTGACTTAGATCTATGAGAGAATAAAATTCTTGATTAAAATGTTCCTAGAAATAAAATCTGAGAATTTTTAAAGTTAGCGCATCTTTAGAAGACTGTGGTTCATTATAGTTGTCAGTATTCACAAGTGTCCATTTAAAATCAATCAATAAGATGTTAATTAAGAGAAATATTGTTGGTGATTAAAGACTAGAAAACAGTTGAGGTCATTTTTAGCTGCGTGTCAGATCTTAGTTCAGTAAATGGCTCCCTGTTCTGGTCTGAGGACTGGTGACCTGTTGGCCACTTCCAGCTGTTAGCTCCTTAGCGAGCTGCCCATGTTTTTGAGCAGAAACCAGACTCAACAGTGAAGCAGCAACTGAGTGAGGCTGTGGCATTGGAACCGTGCTTCTCTGTCGCTACTATTCAAACAATGGCAAGACAGGACCGTAGTGCAGGTGCCTACCCACTTTCACTCAACATGGATTCCTCAAAGGCCATTTGGAGTCAGGAGCGTCTCCCTTAGCTGACAGTATGAATCACAGTCCTGTTCTCTGTTGGATCTCAATGCCTTTAAATTTCTTGATACATTTCTTTACACATTTCTTCCTGTTTCCCTACTCCAATAAATTTATATCTTTTAACTCCATCTCTGTCTTTGATTTCTGGAGATCCGAATGTAACAGTATTTTATTTCACGAAGAAAATTGAAATTTCTTTATTGAGATAATAAGATGAGAGTTTGGAAATATAAGTATGAATATGAAAGAATTTTGTCACCCAGTACTTTGCAGTTCTGGTGTCATCACTGACCTCTGCAAACATTTCTGTAGAGTGCAAAGAGGTTTAAATAACTAACACAGAACCACATGGCTACTACCAATTTGCAGTTTCAAGAAATTTATGACAAGAAACATGGTTGTTAGACTTGGGAGGTGATGTGTAAACTTTATCCTCCATCAGCAATCATGGCATTGCATATGGAGTTCTTATTCAGTTAGCTCCAATTCCTATTCCGGTTCTCTGCTTATGGCCTAGTGAGCAGCACAGGATGCCGCAAGGATTTGGGCCCTTGCACCCACATGAGAAGCTGGAAACAAGTTCCTGGCTCCTGTTTCCAATTAGCTTTGCTCAGCTTTAGTCATTGTGGCCATTTGGGAAGTGAACCCATGGATAGAAGAACTTTTCTCTGTTTCTCATTCTCTCTTTGTAAGAAACTGCCTTTCAAATAGAAAAATACATAAATCTTAAGCACTAGAGTTGATTATAGGTTTCTAAATGTGCTTATTTTCCTTTTGCTGTATAAGAAGCTTTTGAAGATAAATGTTAAAAAGAATTAGTTTAGACTTGGTGCATTAAACCTGTGATTTTGGGAAGAAAATGGGCTAAGTCAAAAGAACAGATAGATAATTAATTCATTGAAATTGAATATTCTGTACTGGTATAAAAAAGTCAGTATTCCCATCATGAGAACTAAAATAATCAAGTACTACTGTTTTCTTCTTTTCTAACATAAATAAGGATAAAATATTTTGCAGAAAGTGAATATTCTCCTAGTATTTATGCTGTTGATTTGATCATTTTTATGAAGAAGAAAAATGGATTTGAACTCATATACATCAATTTCTGTGGTAGCAAATAATATGCCGATGAAATAAAATATGTGTGCTTGAGTTGGAGGGAAATAAGTTCAGTGAAGCTGGAGAGCCAGCAAAGAAAAATTGAAGTTATTTGAAATGATGTGTGCTTTGAACACTGTGGATCTGCCATCACCCAAAGGGTTCATAACTCAGTCAACCAAGGTATACTCCCAGGGGGACAATAGTGATTCTGCAGTGTGTTTCAGAGCAAAAGATTCTGAAGAAGATAGAGATGGGATGGGTTGAGGAAGCAAAATGCACGTGTGTGTACCGAGCAAGAAGAAACATGCATTTCTGTGGTGTTGAAGTGAAATCATATTCTGAGCAAGTTAAAAAAAAAAAAACTTGGAGGCTCCAGAAATAGGCAAGTCATGGATTGTTCAAAGCATGATGCATTGTGTTAAAATGTTTTGACATATTTTTTTTTTTTTGCTGAAGATTACTAAATACTAAACTAGGAAGTAACTGCCCCGGCTAAGCATGAGTAGAATATCCCTTGAAAGTGATACAGAGATAGGGAACAAGATTTTTAAGATTGTTGTAGAAATTCAAGTAAGATGAGTATTTATAATCAGTCAATTTGGAATTGAGAGGAACAAGTCAAAAAGATATTAAGGACAAAAAGATATTAAGGACATAAAGTTGAAAGCCATTGGTATGAAGTAGAAGCTAAGAGCCTATGACAACTTCCTCACTATTATTTTAGGAAATAGGAAAACAGTGGAGGATGCAAGGTGAGGTGATGTCTCAGGTCAAAGTGGTTACCATGAGTGTTGAGTTAAAATGTGTGGGAGATAGTTCTGAGTGTATGTGCAGTCAGCACTGCATTGAATCTGTGGGCTAGGGCTTGGGACACAGATAATTCTGGATCAAGTAGTTGTACTGAGAGAACTATTAGAGAATTGCACAGGCTGTGATATAATTTTTAATCCCATTGAATCCCATTGAAAGTGTATCCATGGGGGAGTAGTCTAAGATTCCCTGCTGTCCATCTTAGGCAATAAAAAGAATGTGAAAGTTAAAACAACTCTGAGAAAAATAGGAAAATAAACATATACACTCATATATAGCACAATGGCATGTTTTTTTTTCCTTGCAACTTAGAGCACATTATGCAGAAATATCTTACTGTGGAGAAAATTTGAGTTTCATTAGTCAGATGTAATTATTTCCCATTGTGTGAAGCTGACTTGTCTTATCAAGAGCAAAATGAAAAGCCTAAACCTATTATACCATCTCTTTGATGTTTTCGTAGGATATAATGAAAGATGAATGCTCGATGCTCAAGTTGCAGCTGAAAGAGAGGGATGAACTTATCTCTCAACTTCAGGAAGAGCTGGTAAGTGATAGCAATATTTGGCCTACAGAGTATACTTTCTCTGCAGGTTTATTGTCATAAAATGTTATTATTTGTTATTTCTTTCAATGAGGGAGAGAGAGAGAGAGAGAGAGACAACAGCAATTGCAACAAAGACATACAGCTGCCATTTGCTGAGCCAGGTTGAAATCAGAAGTCCCAAGCATGGCAGGGACCCAAGTACTTGAGACATGATTTTCTGCCTCACAGGACATTTATGAGCATGAAATTGAAGAAAAGAGCTCAAGCAAGCACTTGAACCCAGGTGGTTAAAGTCGGGTACAGGCATCTTAGCCACAAGGTCAAATGCCTAGTCCTAAACTATTCTTAACTAACTGTATTATTACCTATTTATAAGGTTGTAGTCATTTAGTCTAATTATCAATTTTCTATTCCCATAGCAATGAAAATTTCAAATATTTTTAAACGTGTCTAAGGATTATATATAATTCCATAAAAAATATCACTGAATCTAGGTTTGTACAGTTAAGTTGCATCTATCAAAAATCTTGAGGGTAGAAGCACATTATATTTTGATAGTATATGATTCATACTCTCACTTCATCCTGCTATAACTGGAAGTAAAATCATATAATATGAACCCCAATGCTTACTAATGTTGCCAAAAATTCCAGAATTTTTGCTGTTGTTATAAACCTACCAAAGATTTATTAACCTAATGAATCATTTGTTATTGACTCAAGTGTAAATTACTCAATGTGAAATCATACAATATGTTTTCAGGATGTGGGCATTTTTATCCTATTGCTTCGCAAAGAAGGGTGGAGGCAAAGAGAGAGATATTGATAACCAATATGCATGGTCATGTTTCTGCCTCTTAGGCCTTGTTCTATGATTTGGTTGATGACATTGCTTACATGAGCATATTATTGCTATTTTAGATTTATAAACACTATCTAAAATAACAATATTTAGCAGCAGGCTTTCTGATGCAGCATGTTCAGCAAATTGCAGCTACTCTCTTTTCAGTTCTGTTTGCTGAATCCAAATGCTTGTAACCACACTACCCATGTTGGATATTTGGATGGAGTTCTTGGCTGTGGACTTTGGCTTAGTCCAGTTCTGGGTTTGTAGACATTTAGGGAGTGAACCAGCAGATGGAATATATCTTTGATTTTTCTCTTTTCTTTATTGCTTAATTTCAAATAATTCTTTAAAATAATAATAAGCAGCAGCAGTACTGGGGCAGTCATCTAGGGTATTTAGGGTAGTAGCTAAAATTCTGCCTTAAATGCCTACATCCCATAGCAGAGGGTGTGGATTTAAGTGCCAGCTTTGCTGCTAATTGAACCTTTCTGCTTATATACACCTTGAGAGGCAACAGATAATGGTTTCACAAAATGAGTCTCTGTCATCCACAGGAAACACCTGGGTGGAATTCCTGGCTCTTGACTTTTGACCTCACTCAGTCCCATTTGATGTGGGCAGTTGGGGAACAAAATAACAGATAGTAAAACTCTCCAATTTTCTCTGTTTCTTTGCCTGTCAAATAGCATTAACCAATTAAATGACAAAAGGCACTTGTGTGCATTACTGTAAATATCTTTTTATAAATATGTAAGTATACATTCAAATATAAGTTGTATATATTATACAATGAAAACGTATAATTAATGTATTTCTATAAGTATTTATTATGTACACATTATTTATGTGCCTTAGAAAAATATCTTGAAAAAATATCATATGCAAATATTTATTGAAGAATCGATCAAATGACCAGTTTAAAGAGCAGGTAGTCATCAACTTTACTAAAGAGTGTTATATTTCGGGTAGTTAACACAGAAAGAAGTTTTTTCACCTTTAACATTGGTTATGATCATATTTAATGCAAAACATATATATGAAATCACCCCTCGTTTCTTAAATGAAATAAGAAAGGAAATCATTGACCCCAGAATCAACAGGATAGAAGTGTAATTAAGGGGATTGTAGTCCCTTTTTTCTCTTATCAGCCTTCTGCGGTTGACTCAGTACAATGAAGCTCCACATGTGTCGCTCTTCCTTTTTTTGAAAATTGAATTACCTGAATAGGATGCTTAATTCTCAGGTGCCATTTTAATTTTATGTTAAAGAATTTTTCAACAAAGGAGAAATGTTAGCTTTTGAAATTGTTCACCTCATTAAAGAAGTAATAAAGTTAAATAAGTAAGTGATGATTTAGAATTGGAGGTAGAAGGCACATTTGTTTGAAAAGTATCACTGAACTAGGGTCTGGAGCAAAAATGAAGGGTGTTCATTACAGAGAGTGATACAAACCTCTTAAGTTCAAGAAACATTTTGGTTTTGGAATTTCTTTTTTTTTCACACTAATATCATTTTTTTTCCCCCTGTATCTGGGGTCAGGGGAGAAACAGAGGGAAAAGCCCCACCCAGCCTCCCACCCATCCAGGTTCCCGATGTGAGGCATGCTCTGAGTGTCCTGCTCAAGTAGTTTTGAAGTTCAACAGTTCTGAATAGCTGCCAATCTTGTCGTTCCAATTGTGATGAAATCTCTTCAGAATCTACTGGCTGAAATAGTCTCTTCATGGTTGGCGTTCTGAGATCAGCAGTTCAGTTGGAGGAATCTCCAAAGAAAATTCGTCTGAGATGATCCCAGACGTCATTCTTGTGTGTGTTTGCCAGTACAGGGTCCGGTACAGTCTGTCGCCCCAATCAGCTTATGCACACTCTGGTTGTTGCATTTACTGGGTCAGTTCTGTTTCCAGCCTTGTCTTCCACGCGAACCGATGGGTGTTTCCGTCCAGCCTGATCTTGCCCACTTCATACTTGGTCCTCACACAAACCTGTGGGAGCTGCGACCTACTCAGGGTGACTTCCCATAACGCCCACCGGGCCTGCCTCTACCCTGGTTCCCACGCATGCCAGTATGTACCTCGGACTTGTTCAGTCTGCCCGACATCCCATTTAGCTCTCATACATGTCAATGGGCATTGAAGCCTAGTTCAACCCAACCAACCTACTATCCAGCCACATACATGCTGGGGGGTGCTCTTCTGTCTAGCATACTTGCCCCTGTCCTGGTTTTTGTTCTCTCCAGTGAGAGTGGTAATCCAAGAAGGAAGTGCCCATTATTTCCCTACTAGGCCACTCCCACTCCCGGATTATGCACTCTCCAGGTGATTCTGGAGTTTAATTTGTCAGACTTAGCCCGCAGTTCTAGCCTCTGCCAGCTGATGCTGCAGCAAAGCCCAACCAGCCCTCACCCACTCTAATTTTTGCTTGCACCAGTCGGAGCAGTCAGCCCAACCTGGCTTTCCCATGATCTAGCTCACATGAGGTGCACAGGTATTATATCCCTGCTTGGGGAGCCTGAGTTGTGATGGGAACAGACCAGACCAGGTAGGGAATTTCTATTGCACATAATAAATAACCTGTGATATTTTGGCAAGATGAAGATCAAGTTTCACTCTTATACTTCCCTACTGAGTTTTTAGAATTCTAAGCCATTTTATAAACCAGCTTAAATATTCCATGTTATAAAACAGATTTATTACTGGCAATTTAGAAATAATTTATTTTTCTGTTATATGTTCCATGGATTCTCTATTTCTTAATTACTATTACTATTATAAGCTATGTAGTGTACAGGTATATTGTAGAACCATTTTAGGTTTATTTATATCAAGAAAGAACTCGTACTCAATGATTGAGAAAATTTTATTTTTAATTATTGATTCACATGTTTCATCTTACTGTGATAGTTTAGGAGTTAAAAGTCAGTGATTGGCTGAGAGTTGAGCAAGAGGTATATTTTAAGGTGCAAAATTTTCAGCTACTTTTTTTAGTTTTAGAGTAAGATTTCTCAGTAGTGGCAGTATTGACATGTTTTGTATTATGTGCTGTGAGAAATTAAGCAGCATCTTGGAACTTTCCCCTCTAGCATCCAGAAGCACCCTCTAAATATCGCTGAATGTCCCCTGGCTGCAAAATTGCCCCGTCTTGAGAAGCATTTCTCTGTAATAGGTGAAATTATAGTGCCCAATGAGATTGTGTGTTATACCATAAATGTCTTCTTAGTGACACTTGTGAAAAAGTAAAAATCCTGCTGAAAGGATAGAACTTTTCCTGGGCTGCTGCATGTACTGATTTAATCTACTTAGGCTGCCATAGCAGAAAGACTGAGTGGCTTCAACAGCAGTCTTAATTCTGCAGGCTGTGCATCTGAGATCTCAGTGTCAGTATGGTGGGTTTCGTGTTTGGGCTCTCTTCCTGTTGCAAAAGTTGTCTTCTCACTGTGTGCCCGCATGGCCTTTCTTTGCTGGATGGAGAAAGAGAGACAGAGAGAGAGAGACACAGAGAGAGAAACAAGGTCTGTACTATCTGTTTTTATAAGAATATTAATGCCAGCATGAGGGGCCTACTCATCTCATTCAGGATTATTTGAGGAGGGAATCACAATTCCAGTTCATAGAAAATGCTCTTTGTGTGCATATTTAATATTAATATACATGCAACTATTCAAGGGGCTTTGCTATATTTCTTTTCTCATGAATGCACGTATCAAATATAATTCCTTTTCTATTCTTTGAATTCAGAACTATTACTTTGCTTCAACTCTTCTGCTGTTCAATTGGTAAATTTCACAAAGCATATATGCTACAAACAAAAAATGTTGATCTTAGTTTTTATGTTGATATGATTTGAATAAATTATACACATTAATTGCTAACATGAGTGTATTTCATAGCTTTAAAAATTTTTCTATTTCCTTACACAAGAAGACAACATGCACTTTGTACACTGTGAAACAATTTCATGCATTTTCAAATGATTATTTCTGAAATTTTTAAGCATTTCTTGGTAAGCATTAGTGAATTTAAGATAGGAAAGTATCATGTTTCTATAACCTATATTCTCTATAATTAATCATAAAAAATTAAAATAATTATTTAAAATTGTTATGTCTGCTGAGATAGTATATATTATAATGTGATCAGGTGTAGAGGTTTAAGAAAAAA